GTGGATGGGCAACAAGTGGGAAAATCCGCCATGGATAGTTGAATTGTCAAAAAGATTCAATGCAGCGCTACGCCACTCCGTGGGTTGCGTCAAAGACAATCGAAATCACCGTGGACTACCATGCGACGAGGCAGGTTGGGTCAATGTTGAGTCGATCTTGAAGTACGATGCCATTTGGAAAGACCAACATACATTGGCTGGAACGACCTACGTCAATTATCCGATACTTGTTGAGAGGTGGAACAATTTCCAGAGAGTGATCTTCACTTAGTACAAGCAAACGAAGAGAATCCGAGCACAAGTGCTAGGACTCAAGGTCACGAAAGGTGAGTTGGAATATCTCATGGACAATTTCAATGATGGATTGACCTCGAGACTTGATCGACAAACACTGAGGTTGGAGATCGGCACAGCAGATCGAGAGATTTGGCTTTGGCCGGTGGCAATCCGTGCCCCTATGGCGCATTCAAGAGTTCAAGGCGGTGTGCACATTGAAGACAAGAAGACTTCATATCAGATGAACCCTGGAGTAGGATACACTCTCGGAGGAGGATTTCATTGTACCACATTTGACAACATCGCTCAAATCTTCAGAGAAGGACTACGTCCAGGAGGAGGAGGCGATCGCATCAATACGTTCTTCGTGCCGTTCGCGCCGTGGGATGTGAGAAGTCAAATGGTGCTGAGATTCAGGAAGATTGATCAAACTGATCTTGTCTACATCTACATCACGTATGATTCCATCGCCAAGTTCTCCCCTCGATTATCAGCAGACGGACACATTTTGGTCCAAGAAACAATTCCATTCGAATCATTCGACGCGGTTTGGTATTACGATTGGAGAGAAAAGGACTATTACCGTCTCATGATCACGAAGGGAAGAGATCAACTTGTTCTTTCTGTGCAAGGCGCGAAGAGGGTGGCCACCATTGAACGATTTGACAAGCTCATTGGAAACATTGTGCCTGAAGAATCATCACCCGATCTAGACGAACTTCGAAAACTTGTCGATATCAGGACCGGTCACTTCAGTCATACTCACAGATTGTTCCCTGGACATCCGGATTGGAATGATGCAATTTCATTATTGGCAGTCACTCATCGTCCTAGCAAAGAGGACCATCGACTATGCCCCGCATGTCTGATGGAGACCCCTGCGCCATTATCGATTTGTGTGATGTGCAAAGGATTTTTGGTGAGTCATGGATGGAGGAAACGGATCAAGATCACCGTGGCTACAGTACCAAAGGCCGAATCACACCATCGAGAAGAAGATCTCAAAGACCATGTCAAGAAAGCATGGGAGGAGGTGAAGATCGATTTGACAGGTGATGATGACGACGAGGTGATGCCAGATGATGATGATGTCACCATGAAGAGTCCAGAACAAGAGACTCAACCAGAAGAAGGAGATGATGATCAAGCCTCGAAGAAGGGCGACATCAATGATGAGAAAAGAGACTTCAGAGAAGAAGATGAGGTCGACAAATTTCTCAATCAAGAGGGAAAACCGACCGATGAGAATGATGATGAAGAGAAAGCGGTCGATGAAATCAACATTGAAGTGTACGAGGCTGGAGAAGCTCGTGATGCAGTGATTGAGTACCCCAAGTGGATGCAACGGATTGAGTTTGGATCAAAGGTCCTGCCAATCGAACCTTGCACAATTGGAGATGCTCAGCCAGAATTCATCAAGATCCTCCTGTTGCAGATTGGATTACATATCGTCAGGATCTACAGACTATTCCAACGGAACTTCTGTGGAGACATCGAGACGGCATGGAAACATTTTCAACAGAACCAGAAATTCAGGATGGACCTGGACTCAAGGACACCTTACCTGGGCGAGGATGAAAATGGTGAACTCATTGAACCAACTGCACAACAGATGAAAGAGCTCTACAAAGAGATCGGTCGACCAAATCAAAAGGACGACATCGGAGAAGAGGGATTCGTCAATGCATACTATGGGGCAGTGGTACTCAAAAGACTTCTCATATATACCCTTGAATGTGGCTACACGTATGATGACTTGCAAAACATATTCTTTGATGAGGAGATGGAGAAGCTGTCGAAACGTGACACCACAATGGATGAGATGAGAAAGACCACAGCGGCCCGCGACGCCCTTGACCGACAAGACGTCATGGTCAGAAGAATCATTGCAGGTGCATATAGGGTAAATGCTGTTTATTTCTTCAGGAACGTTGACTTTCAAGACACAATCACACTGAATCCAGTTGACATTGTGGGTGCTCTTCGTCCACCACTTCGAAGAATATCACTTTTACACCTGATCCTTCAGAATGGCCGACAATTGCCGCGACCTCTACTCCAAAAGCTATATGATGCGATCGATGACTACAATCACATCAAGCAACGGGAAGATCAACGACCAAGGTGGGGCATCCACTTGTCTGAAGCTCACATACTTGCGATTGCTGATACCCCGACTCCTGCTGATCGTGAACGTGCCAATCCAGCCGCTGGCAAATCGAAAGCAGCCCCGAAAGCTGCACCAGCACTGGGAAGAGTGTCGAAAGCGAAAGCATCATCATCAGCGACATGGAGAACAGTCGAAACCGCTCCTCAGCCAAAACAAGCTCCAGTAACCCCGCCGAAGAAGGGTGGAAAGGATCAAGGAAAAGGTGGAAAATCTTATTCACACCGTGGCGGAGACTGGAACCAACAGGGATACTATGGATGGGGATATAGATGATTAAGCGATCTGACCCCTGCATAGGTCCTGATTGAACCTGGCGATGCGAGGATGCAATCATTGCTCGAGATTTACCTCTACTTCATTTTGAATGATTTCTGAGAGGACTCTGAGCCGGCTAATTTAGAACCACACATTTCTTTTTGAACATCATTGCATGAAACGCTGAGTTTCTACAGCGGTCTACGTCTCAACCGACGAAGGGACGGGAAGGTAAACTTCTAGTTCCATAGTCAACTTTGTGTTTTGATTTCTTTAATTCACATGCTTGAGTGAGACTCCATGCTGGCTACGCCACATTGGATGAACCTCAATGCTAGACACCGACTACGTCGTGTCTACATGCACGTGAACAGAACCTTCATTTTTTTGGTAGAGATTGTAGCAAGCCGCCATGTAGATTGGAAGTTCTGAAACGGACTTTAGCTCTCCATAATTCAATAAATGAACAGCTGCAAGTGTAGTGGATCAATTTAAAGGACACTCCTTTGCGCGTAGCCAACCAAGTTGGCTATGCGTGGGGGGTGCGAATAGAGTGTAGGCTACGGACCACTGTACAATATCACATAATTCAACACTCTGAGATCCACAGCCAAAGGGTATGACAATCGCCCTTTTGGCTCAAGACCCCACTGCAGCTCCAGAACAAAGATCTGCCATGCGGAAGCCGCGATTCTTGTGAAGCCGTCACCGAAGCTTTTTACTTCAACCCCAAGTATCAGGACATAATCGGACATACAATCGCCGATTCGCACCTGGTAAATACATGTAAATAGGTCAACCGACTGGATGGGTAGTTGGATAGGTAGTTGGATGGGTCGTTTAACTAATCCTAACTAATCTGTTGTTATCAATGGGAATATCCACTCACCAGACTAACCAGTTAAAAATTGGATTTTTTGCCAGTTATCTAAGATTGGCAATGGTAAGTGAGTGACTCGTTGTTTTTCTCTCACAATTGGGACATAAACAATGACTTACCGGCTAAGAAACCTTGGGTTTTGCAGGCTACCTAAGATTGGCCTGTTCAGTTCAATGGTTGGGCGACTTTTCACAACAGTTTGCCTCAGGTCGTCAAACCATAATTTGGTGTGATGCCGGTGAACACTTTGAACGCTCTGTCCAAAGTTGGGTGTGATGATGGGGAAAGCAGCAACTGTTTTACATCAGGGTCAACCGATGGCAACCTTCTGCCCGATGTGAAATAGGAATTAAGAACCTAAAACTTAGATAGATGTGTCTGAAAATTGGATACCCCTTAAATCCCCTTAAAATTGGGGGATTATCAGCATTTCTTGCTAAAGGTTACCATTTTCAGTAATTGAGGGAAATATCAGCACAGCCCATTTTCAGACCCCAAATGGATATACTATGTGCCATTTGGGTATGGGTCAAAATTAGGTACCCCAAAATTATGGATGGTTAATACTAAACTAGACTAACATCTGTGGTCCCCTAGGTCTTCCATTTTGACCCACATCCATTTTATGCCAATGTTTCCAAGTGAATTGCCAATTGTTGATGATCAATGTCCAGCTGGGCATAGCTGGTTAGTAAGTCCCCATTCAGTGGCTTATCCCATCCGTAAATGGATGAGCTATATATATATATATACTGGTTGGTGGTTTCAAACATGGCTGGATTATTTTCCATAATATATATATATATATGGGATGTCATCCTTCCCATTGACTCATATTTTTCAGAGGGGTGGCGAAAAACCACCAACCAATATAACTATGTTACTAAGCAGTTACGAGCCGTGCGATGATCCTCCAAGTACGAAGTAGGTTTCACTAGCTCATTTTGAAAACACAGCCACATATATCAAGTGTATCCCCCAATATATAGTAATTAAGTATCACTAAGTATCACTAAGTATCACTAAGTATCACTAAGTATCACTAAGTATCACTAAGTATCACTAAGTATCACTAAGTATCACTAAGTATCACTAAGTATCACTAAGTATCACTAAGTATCACTAGGTATCACTAGGTATCACTAGGTATCACTAGGTATCACTAGGTATCACTAGGTATCACTAGGTATCACTAGGTATCACTAGGTATCACTAGGTATCACTAGGTATCACTAGGTATCACTAGGTATCACTAGGTATCACTAAGTATCACTAAGTATCACTAAGTATCACTAAGTATCACTAAGTATCACTAAGTATCACTAAGTATCACTAAGTATCACTAAGTATCACTAAGTATCACTAAGTATCACTAAGTATCACTAAGTATCACTAAGTATCACTAAGTATCAGCACCAGGCAGCTTTGCCAGAAGCACTGGGGGACGGACGCGCTTCGTGAAGATCAACGCGGAGAAAGCGCCGTACCTCACGGAGCCGCTGGGCTCTTTATGGCTCAGGGACCGATAAAAATTGAAGATACCTACCATTTTTTAAAGGCCTATATAAGGGCTACCCTCTGGTGAACTAACATAGCAATGGAAAATGGCCATTTATAGTGGATTTTCCCATTAAAAATGGTGATTGTCCATTGCTATGTTAGTTCACCAGAGGCTATTAGCCAGGGGATATATCCCCCAAACTATGGCTTTATATTGAACATTATTGAACCATGGCTTGATACCTTATGGCTTTGTATTCGGAAGATCATCCGACTTAGTAGGTGGATAGTAACCATAGTTATCATCGATTTATAGATGGGATAATCTGTTTAGGGTTAAGCCTTGATGGGTTAATCAGTGACTAATCATCATTTTCCGGATTGAAATGTGCTATATTTAGGGGTATATACTGTATTTTAAGACTTACTGGAAATGGCTATTTGTGGGGTATATCATTTTTTTCCTTAGGCCATTTGTAGGGTAAGGATTCCATTTGATCATATTTTTCCTAATTGGCTATTTGTGGGGTATACCTCATTTTCAAAGAATTCAGACACACCCATATGTACCTATGTGAATATAGCAAAAGACAAACTTAGTTTGCGGAATTCGCTACATGGAAGTGTTCGAGGAAAGTGAGGAAACCATAGGAAGCCCTCATGCTCGGGGCTAAAAAAAATTATTTCCGGCGAAGATTTTCCCTTGAATCGACTAACCATCATAGATGTTCATGAAAGCTTGAATTTCCAGTGGTAAGATATGGTCATGTCTCAATTTTTGATGGTTAAATGATCTCCAGTTTGAGTAGTAAAATCCATGGCAACATCCGAATTTCTGGTTGTCAAAGGTCTCCATGTTTTTTTTTGGTTAATTCCCAAGGTTTGGTGGAAAAAGATCCATCGTACAAGTTCCCCCCGGCGCCCAAGGCGATTGCACATTTGGTGCTTGCCCTCGCTGGTCCTTTGCAAGGACCGTTGGGGCGAATTGCCAACAGAATGGCTCGGTCTGAAAATTGTTTTATGCACCAAACAGATAGAAGTTGGTGAAATCCGAACCTAAACTTGTGGTAAATTGAATCTTTTTTGCATCTTTTTGGGGGTTTCTATACCCCAAAATCCACTTGGGTGTGTCTAATTAAATGGACTTATCAATGTAATTTCATTCTCCCAGTGAAAATTGCAATTTTAGAGCGCCCTCTATTTTTACACAAAACCCAGATGGGAATATTTTTTATTGTACATCAAGATTAACTGATTAACCATATCGGTTGCATGAAGATCTGATTAAATGTTTCAATGCTTCATCAGATTCAACATGATTCAACGATCCAAGTGGCCCATCAATGGATGACCACGACCCTTGGGACTTGGAAACCATGGTGACGACTGGGGATTTTTCTTGGGGAACTTGAGCTCCCGAAAATGACCGGCCCATGTCCTATGGAGGAGGGCAAGACAGAACACACAGTGGTTGGCTTCAGTGAATTCAATTCCGGGGATGAGGTGCGCCCGGAAGTGGATGAAAATTATCATTTCTGCACAGAGGGTACCATACCATGGTACCTGAAAAATCCGGTGTTTCGCCATTTGGGAAAATGACATGGCAATGTATTCGGCATCAGCCCATTGGAAAATTTGGAAATCAGCGGAAATCAGTCGTGTTTGGTCCATTTGACAAATTGAAGAACCTGAAGAACTATGAAAAACCATCATGTTCTATGATTCATGAGGATTTACCTAGTTTTCCACGGTGATTTCATCTGATTTTCCATACTAAAACCCAGCAAACTGGCGGTTTTTTGTTGCCTTCTGCCTCCTTTTTCCTCGTGAAATAGTGGCGTTTTCGGGGTGCGGCCTGGCAGCCAGACATGTCCTCTAAAGACTTGGCGTCTACTCGTCTCTCTGAGTAGTATATCCTCCACTTAAGTGTTGGGTAATATCATGTGTAACATCAATCAATATCATATAATCATATAGTTACATGTAATTATGATGTATGATATAATGGAAGCATTGTACATTATATAATGATATATATATATATACATATATTGCAATGTAGCATAGTATGATATGGTATAATTTAAGATCATCAAATCTAATATGATATCTGTTGTGACCTGAGCTGATCTAATCCAATCTAATCCAATCTAGTCATAATATATGTATATAGACTATATAGATATATTATATATACATATACAAGATATATACATATACATGATGTATATATATATATATCATTCATAGTCATATCCTCCTCCCGTTTCTGTTTTTGATCCACATCCGAATGCTCGGTTAAAGGTCACAACAGAGGAGCTCGAGGAGACCCTTGCGAAATGGGGTGTGACTTGGCGACTTGAAACGCGGAAACGGCGCGTTTCGGGGGGATCTTAAAATGGGGGGGTGAACCCCCAGGTCACACATGGCTATGTTAGGGAAATGGCCCATTTATAGAGGTTTACCTATCAATAGCATGGTGATTTTCCATCAATATTAACATACCATCTGGTTATGACTAACATAGCCATGGAAAGATCCACCATGCTATTAGGTAAACCATCTATAAATGCGCCATTTTCCATGGCTACGTTAAATAACCAGAGGGTATATGAAAATGGTCGTTCATGACTTGGATGATTTGGGATACCCCCATGACTTAGGAAACCTCCGATATACCTACATTTCATCTACATTTCATTGGAATTTAGATGGATTTTGATGAAAACAAATGTTTGATATTTGATGATATTTGGAGCCAAGCATGAGCATGTCATGGGGACATAGATAGGGGCTGCAGTTGGGGTTTCCAGACATAGACATAGCTATGGCAATGCCGCCTAGAAGTTTCGATTTAACCCTAGAAGTACGGTTCCACAACCAATTGTTGGTGGCCCCCAAGTGGGAATGGCTTTGGCGATTGGAGTTAACCAACAATCATGGTGCAAAGAACTGGAATTTAACCAGCAAAAATGGATAAACATGGAGATGTAATGTCAGTTTAGCAGCAAAAATCATGATTAATGGGATTTACTGTCAACCCCTGATGGCTTCATAAACCCTGGTTGATTAAAAATCGGTTTCTCACCCAAATCACGGAAATGGGCTACGAAAATGGTACCCCAATGAAACCGCGGGGTGGAAAAAATCCGAGCAAGGCAACTAACAGTAGCCATTCAGACGGATTTCTTGATCAATTCAATGGGAATTCCAGGATCCTAAAATGGAGGTACTGGACCACAATAAGGCCGTATTTTGTGGGGATATTCCCTTACATAGGCCTGAAAAATAGGCAAAAAATATCTGGAATCGGTACCTCCAATTTTTATCGGTTCCTGTTGCATGGCCATGGATCAATGCTGGAGTTTGGAATGTATTTGGTGACGTGTTCACCAGCCAGACAGGTTGATCATATGGGGATGGGTCAAAACCCTGGTACCTAGTGAACCCCAAAATAGCTGGTAAATGGATGTTCATCCCACTAAAAATGGTATGTATAGGTATTGATCCATAGCCATATTCTTATCAACTCTTCTCATTTCCCCAGATCCCATTTTGAAACCATCCCATTTTGAGCGCTCAACAGTCTATTATAGTTGTGTAGATAAGATGAATCTGAAATAATATATATATATATCTATACATACAGCTCCTTAAATAGTATAAAAGATACACTCAAAATAGGATGTGTAGTCTACAGTCTACAGGATGGGCCCCCCCAGTTATAAGTTGGTTTATAAACCATTATAACCACCATTAACTATAGTTATATATATCATAAACCATAGTTAAGCCACTTATAAGGCAACTTAGCTATCTTGGGGGCCCCATCCTGTACACATCTCATTGTTGTCACTGATTTGATCAACCCAACGGTATGATGAATCCAGTGATGAGTTGGGATGTTTTTTTCGGCCTACTTACGGAGTGCCGAAAAACAAATGCCGAAGAGTTGTGCGTCTAAAAAAACGGGTATCCTGTTGGAAAGTGACTGAAAATTGGATACTTGGTTACAACATGTTACAACCCTATAGGTGGATTCACCCTACTTATCCCACTTATAACAGTGGGATGAGCCACCATTGATCCCGACGCCAGGTCATCAAGTATGACTGTTGAGCACACGGCTCAAGCCTGCCGGACTGATGACTTGCCAGCCGCTGCTGAACTGTGCCGTTCCGAACGGCTCCAGTTGAGTTGAAGTCTGGATGAAAAAGTGTCCAGATTTTCAGCAAAAATAACCAGAAGGTCCACATATTTTGTGGTCCAAAAAAGGGGCACTGAAGTTGCCAACAATTCGGGGAGTGCCAAACTTCATCAGCTTTGCTCGCTGATTTGGCACAGAGGGTTGGTCTAGGTAGGATGCATGTGGTGCACGTCTGCGACTTTTAGGAACTGCAATTGACCGGATGTGCAAAAGTTCAAAAATAAACTTGAGGTTGTTACCCTCTGGTAATTTAACATAGCTATTGAAAATGGCCAGTTATAGTGGATTTTCCCATTAAAAATTGTGATTTTCCATAGTTTTTTGTATGTTTACCAGAGGGTAAACCCCAGCCAAAATAGTCTAAGACTCTTGAGAAACTACAAAAACTACCGGAAGATACATTGGGCTGCAAAGATCTGCGCAGAACGTGCATTTCATCTTGACCCCGTGCGGACGACGTGCGAGAAAAAAGATGCTTGGGCTGGAGCATGGCCTTAGCATTTTGGGTCATGTCATTGGTTGGTTGTTAAATACATAAATTAAATACATAACATGGTTGTTTGGAACATGAATGGATTATTTTCCCATATATTGGGAAGAATCACCATCCCAAGTGACGATTTAAGTCCATCATTTTTCAGAGGGGTAGGCGTACCAACCACCAACCAGTAATCATTGATAAACCATATTATTCAAGATCATTAACCATATAATAACCATATAATAACCATATATATTAACCATATATTAACCATATATTAACCATCTGGCTTCATTGTCTGGTTGGTGGTTGAGCTACCTTCAAACTGCCGTGGGTGGCTGCCGACGGCCGTTGCGGCCGGAAGCGACAGCCATGACCAACTTGGCTTGAAGTTGGACTTGGTGGGTGTCTACCTCAAGCATGGACCAATTTAATACATTTTAAGTTTACATGCATACGGCCATATGAAATATATTGATAATTATTGATATATATATATATATACATACATACACTGGTAGTTATATACATATATTAATTATATTAATTATATTAATTAATAATTCTTAATATGTATACTTCAAAATATGAGTATAAATACGTATGTATGATTATGTATCTATAGTGTTTTTGGTTAACTCATGTTAACTATTCCATATCGTGTCCCCCTTAATGGTTAAATCCGACATGAAAATCATCGATGAAGCCCAGAACAATGTCTCATGTTTTTGGACTAAATATTCCCCGATTCAAAAATAATCAGCTACCATCTGCTTATTTAACAGTTCGCCATGGAAAATGGCCCATTTATAGATGGTTTACCTGGGTTTACCTATTAAAAATGGTGGATCTTTCCATGGCGAACTGTTAAATAACCAGAGGGTAATATTGATTAAATGACCAGTTAAATTTTCCCCATCATGGTTGTTTTTATTGATTACATGACACATATGACAATGTTTTAACCAGTTACCGGGTTTGGGAGGCATGTGATTGAATCCCATAACCATCCTTTTATGCATGGTTCCAATCCACGCAGAAGATTGGGATGGTGCTATGGGGTTGGTTGAGTCACCGCCAAAAAAAAAAATGCGTCCTACCATACTATGGGCCTCAAAAATCATGGATCCCCAGTCGTCACGAGTTGGTTGTTTCAATACGTCATGGTCGTTCATGGCTGGGTTGCTTTGGGATACCACAATGACTTTGGACACCTCCATATATGCCACTAGTGCAATATAGTCGTCCTGGAGTAGATAGAATACGGGCAATTCTCGAAATCCTCGCCAAAATTGAGAATATGTTTTTCATTTTTTGTCTATATTCTACCTACTTCAGAATGACTACATTCATAGGTCTCCTAAAAGGATGGTACCTCCAAATCATCGATTTTTATGGGATTTCATGGGATTTTCCATGAAATCCATCAACCCTCCAGCTGGGGTACCCCCATGACTCTTCGAACTCCCCATGAACTGCCCGGGCTCCAGGCGGTGCGCAGGGCGCAAGCGCAGCTGTCGGAGGTCTTGCAGACGCTACCCGAGGAGGATCGACAGGTGGAACGTGGCGGGATTTCCTGGGGAGGTCCTGGTGGTTCCACCCTGAAAAAAGGTGAAAACTCAGGGTGAAGACCGCATCAAAAGAGTGGAATTCATGGGAAATTGATGGGAATTTATGATACATCCTTTGTTTAGGGGATAGACTTTGGATATAAAATGATATAAACAGGGATATTGTGTTTTGATTTACGGTTTATCATCATCTACATTATCAAAATATTTTTTTGATATAATTTGGGGGTATACTGATACTCCATTTTCAGACTCCATAAAACACACCGGGCTTGATGTCGGAGGCCGTACCTGGTCACGAATAGTTTGAAGTCAGAATTAGTGGTTTTACTGGATCCTATTCACAAGGGGACACATGAACCCCATGAACTACGCGACTGGAAAAAAGTGACTCGCTTTTTCAGTTCTCAGGGCCGCTTCCTATTTGGATGCGTTCCAAAGGAATCCTAAGACTACACGCAGCAACCCTGCAGATGTTGTTTGGTTATTTACATACCATTTGTATCCATTTGTCATGGCTAGACACAAGTACTGTAGTACTATCCAGCATTTCTAGCCCCGCCTACGTGGGGACCAAACCCCAAACAAGCTATGTATATATCGGTTGGTCTATATAAATCCTTTCATTCATGAATAGTCATGAATATTTGACCTACTCTCTGGCAAACTATACAACATAACCAGTGAAAGTCACACTTTCTATAGGTCAATCATCTATAAATGCACCATTTTATAGTTATCTTAAACTTAGTTAGTTTACTGGAGGGTAATTTAGATATTCCACCACTAGTACGGCTGAGTCTGAAAATCGGGAATACCCCCAATCAAGCCATTTTAATACAGATTGTCAATGGCTAACTAGTGGATTTAGGGGCACCTTGTTGAGAGGAAACCCTACATCTTTGTAGAAAACGATGGCTTTCGTGCACCGTATTCATTGGAACAAAAATCCCAATCAACAATGTATATGTGTTCCTTTATGTACTCCAAAAAAGATAGAAGAACATTAAAATACTGCTAGAATTGTTGGGGGTTTCTGTAAACCACCACAATTTTATCAGTTGAAATTCCTTGCTTTTTCTACATTCACTTTCAATGGGTTGTTCAAGCAGCTCCAGTGGCAGGTCATGGTGTTTTCTCTCCAGTGACGGCCTTGGGGCCACTGGGTGAACCCTCTGCTGGTGGTCTAACAAGGGTTTCTTCAGATTCCAAAGCTCGAGGGGGAGAGGAAAGCCATCTACTTTTCTGTCTTCTGCGGATCTAGAACACCAGAACATACCAAGCCAGATGGGTGTGTCTGAAAATAGTGTACCCCTAAACCCAATGGTTAATGATCATTATCCCTATTAAATGGCTATAATTGGGAATATACCCTATTTTCAGACAAACCCAGATAGTTGTTGGAGATTGGATCATGTTTGCATCACACGATTTCGACATTGATAGTGATAGGGACATTTCTTACTTCTATCCTGGTCTATATCAGTAAACACCATATGGCATTATGGAGGTTTCCTCAAATGGAGGTACCCCCAAATCATGCAAGTCAGTAGACCACTTTAGTGCTGAAACCTATCGTGACTTGGGGTAACCCCCATTTTAGGAACCCCCCATATACACCCAAAGTTGTACCTTACTTAACCATTCCTCAACCATTCCCGACCCCTTGCAGCTTTCCCAAGGTTTCTCCGTGAACGCGAAGAGAAAGCTGCCGCAGAAGTGGCCGAAAGGGCGAACGTTTGGGGCCCAAGTTGGGTGGAAGTTGGGGTGGTGTGGTGCTTTGAGGCCGGGAAGATACGTAGAGAGGTAGATAGGCAGATAGACAGATAAACAATATGTAGATATATTACATGTTTAGATCATGTTTAGTATACATACTGTATATGTTTGCTTCATAAGGATTGCAATCATCATTCAAAAGCATGAATCATTGAATTCCCATTTCCCCCTGACAACCTTGGTTTAGTATTGGGTTTGTTCCTATTGGGGTCCCTCATTGATCCTCATTGGGTGTATTTCATATCAGGATTCACTCCTTTTTTATTCATACCTTATACCTGGCCCTTGATCCTAGAATTGGTTTTGTTTGAAAATCTAGAGGACGCCCCCGTTTCCTTGGTTTTCAGTAGATTTCCCAACCAAGTCCCTCATCACAACTCGAGCGTTTCACTCAACTGGAGGCGGAAAAGAGTCGCAGCATAGGTGGGGCCCTGGGGCCCTGCAGCCTTGGGATTGAAACAGTAAACAAGGCGGACCAATCCCTAGAAACTTTGGGCTAACTATAGAAGACTATAGACTAACTAGGATTTAGTTGGATATTTTTGAAAGGTTAGATTGGGCTAGAACTATAAACCAACTTGCAACTTGGGGTACTTTATATAGGAAGAAATCCACTAGTGGATATCCACTGTTTTGGACGATTTTCTTACACACAAAACATGGTCTACGTGAAGGTTTTCGAAGTAGCCACCTTGGATTACCACAGAGATTGGATCGTGGGAGATTTAAGACACGAGCACGTTTGTGCACGCAATAATGGGATCTTTTGGGCGCAATCATGTTGAACATGTTGGCTGATTGATGCAGCTAACATCTGATATTCTCGCAATAGCCCCCCAAAATTGTAGAATCACTGTATATTGGTTGAAGGTCCCAAAAGTGCTGGTGAAGTAGTGCGGTGACCATCAAACATGGTAATTCTCTTCCACCTGAAAAAGTGCAGATTTACTTGGATTACTAGATTTGCAGGTCAATCCCCAACATTGCAATCTAAATTACTTATTTCTGGGAATGAAATCCCCAAGTAAACCCAGATTTTCCCAGTCATGTTAAAATTTCATTTTTTTGTTGGATAAATTCGTCATTTTGCAGTTGAAATCCCAGTGATGTTGCTCAACAAATCTCTAGTTTTAGCGGTGATGTTGCTCAACAAATCTCTAGTTTTAGCGGTAAGATCATGTTTTTATTCCCAACTCCAACATTTCTCTAAACCCAGCCGGATTTGGATGACTGCGGCTGCTTCAAAGCAGGTTTTTCATTCAACATGTTGACGTGTTTTTGCGGGTGAAATCCCATGTTCCTGCTTCAATGCTCGATTTCACTTCCAGCGAGTCAAAACCCTGGTACGCTAGCTGGATGATGCTCCATGTTGATTCCCCCAAATGTAAAATTTCATATGTAACATATAGGTATGGGCCAAAATTCAAGACTTGCCAGATGTAAGTCTAGCTTTCGTTAAGTTTAGTATTAAGTTTAGTATAGTTTAGTATTAACCCTCCAATTTTTTTGGGGTACCTTGACCCATTCTTCCCCTTCCCCTCCGGTTCCGCAGTTGCTGCCGCTGCCGCGGCTGGCGCCCCCGAGCCGCCGCCGTCGCCGCCGTCGAAGTCGCGCAGCGTGGAGGCGCTGACGCGGCAGGTGGATGCCATACGGGCGGAGAAGGTGCGGGGCGCCGGCGCAGCCGGTGGCGAAGCATCGCTGGATGAATGGGATACCCGGCCTGGTAAACTAAGAGTTTGCGAACTGGAAAAGCAGCATTTTGAATGGGTAAATCAACTATTTCGACTGGGCCATTTTCAATAGCTATGTTAAATTACCAGAGGGTATCATCCAGATATGATCTGGTTGGTGGTTTGGGACATGAATGTTATGACTTCCGTATATTGGGAATGTCATCATCCCAACTGACGAACTCCATTATTTTTCAGAGGGGTTTAAACCACCAACCAGGATATCATTCAGATATGATGGAGGTTTGAATGGGAATGATATATGGAATGATACATCTATAAAATGGAGGTTTTACTATGTTTCATGGGAATATCATCGATGATCTGTATAACCTGATTGTTTAAGAACTAGGGACCTAAGGAGTTATGCTCCCTAATTGACTGGATCATGATCAGCCATATGAATGGGAAACCGTTTTCAATTGGCTATCAATGAGGTAGGATAGGGGTATTCTCAATGGCTCACTTGGAGGATCGTGATAGTGATTTGCCAACTTATGTGGTACAAGATGTTGCCCCTTAGCCAAGTTGGTGCAAATGATTCCAATTTCATTGTTGGCTTTGCGGTAGATATAGCATGATATAGCATGACATATATATATAATAGCTACAGCTACAGTTAGTGGTGGTTATAACATGATATATAAACCAACTTATACATAACTGGTGGAGGGGGCACCCCCTTGGCTGCACCAGGGCCGTTTTTGGTTAACGCGTCCGGTCAGGACGAGTTGGCGTCGGAACTGCGGGCCCTGCAAGACATCTCGCAGCGCGAGCGGGACATCACGAAGGAGCCATTGGATTTTTTGGTTTGACGCATAATGGGCGCCCCTTATATCATGCCATATATATATATAATATAGCTTACACACACATATATATATATATGTATATATATACACACTATAGCTACAGGATACCTGAAATGGCCTTTGAATAGATAGATGATATTAGAGCTGCTGAGATTGTTCGATGTCTATTATTATATAGTAAATACGTTATTTTTTTAAGTAGCCTCCAGTGAAAGCGCAAACAGCTATGGAAATCCATGGGTTTTTATCATGGGACATGATCTACATTCATGGTGACTTTTCCATAGCTATCTTAGTTTGGTATCCAAATCAAGATGGGATGGATCGATGGCCGAAGTGGGGATGTAACTATGCCTGATACAGTCTGGTAAACACACAAAAAGCTATTGAAAATGGCCATTTAGTGGATTTACCCATTAAACATGGTGATCTTCCATAGTTACGTTAGTTTACCAGAGGGTGTTTTTTTTGATGGGTATAAGTTATAAAGATTATAAAGGGTGGATTTGTCCATTTCTAGGTTTGGGTACTGGGGGCGAACCGCTGATTTAAATTTGAGGTTCCTATGCTCATTGGAACTTATCACTACTATGGCTGACCTTAATCCTCAGTGATCAAATCTTTTTTAGCTTTGGACACTTGATGCCTAAAGCAAGCTTTGAAGGGCACAGCTCGGCTGGCCTCTCTGACAGGCTGTGCAGTGGTCATGTCATATTTTATCTCCAGGTGTGTATAATCTTTATGTACTACTGGGTCAAAGTGGTAACTTATGCCGCGGTCATCTTCTTGTGCCGCAAACGGTGTGCCGTTGGGAAGTCCATGATATACATGTCATTCTTGCTGGATGAATCAATTGTTTGTGGCATTGATTCTTCTAACACTTTACAGGGGCACACATGTTTTTGAGACATATTCTTTTTGAGATAGAAACTCATGGGGATGGCTTCTCAATAGCTTGACTCGCACAGAAGAGAGAACAGTAGAAGAGAAGAGTAGAGTAGAAGAGACTATATACAGAAGAGTAGAGAAGAGAATCGAATTGAAGAGTAGAAGTGATTAGAGAGGCCTAGAGCAGAGAAGGGAAGAGTAGAAAAGATCCCTGCTGCCTTGCCCTGCTGCCTTGCCCTGCTGCCTTGCCTTGCAAAATCCAGATCTCCTACAGATCTCGTAAAGACCTCGTAAGGATCTCGTAAAAATAACGCAATGAGAATGACATGTAGAACTGGTCTTCTAGAGGTCAAGTTGATGGTGTGCCATGCGGTTTACAACGCTTTGTGTCAGGTTTAAGACAGATAAAAAACGGTACAAAGCGTTGCAGTCCGCATAGGAACTTCATGAAAACAATGTGCACATAACACATACATGGATCGGCAAAGTGATCGGCTGCAGAAAAGAAAACTGTTACCTGAGTACTTGGATGTACTCGGTGTGCCAATGGGGAAAACCATCATGGATGACATTCTTAGAGATTAAATATGTTGTTCCGACAATGGGAATTACATCTGAGAACTTGGGTTGATAGAAAACAATTTGTAGGTGTGCCATGCGTTCCCTGACATTTGGGGTGAGGTCAAAGAATTCACGAACTGATGTAAAATGTACCAAATCCCTTAGGAAAACAGCAAACCAATCCAAAAACCTGTCCGTGAGGGCCGGTGTGCCATGGTGATTTGCACATGGCGTAAGTTCTTGGGTTCGTGGGGTAAGCGGTGTGCCATGCGGTGGGGTAAGTTCATAGATTTTGGGGCAAGTTACCCCCCGGACTCGTAGGATTTATGTGTACGTTTGTTTGACTACCATTGAGTTAACATGGGATAAATCGATCACTCAATAGATAGATGGGTAGATGGGTAAATAGGTAGAATACCAGGTAGACAAATAGACAGGTAGATAGGTAGATAGATGGATAGACAGACAGGTAGATAGGTAGGTACATGGGTAAAAAGGCACAAAAGGGCATAGGCATGCAGGTACACCTACATATGTACACGCGTATATACATCATATACAGTATATATATATATATATGTATTGTATACAGGTACATACACATGTATATATATATATGTATTGTATACAGGTACATACATATGTATATATATAATGTATATATATATATAATGTATATATATATATGTATCTCTCTCTCTCTATATATATATATATGCACAGGTATCCCCCGGGAAGGGGTCTGCTTTACAACTGCCAGGATTTGCGAAAGATGCACCAGATGGATTTAGAGGAGATCGGATCTCAGATGCAGGCGCTCTGTAGCAGGAAACCTGGATCTAGTTTGACGGAGAACTACTGTGGATGGTAACCATTAGGTAACCATGAAACACTGTAATCAATGGGATTAGAATGGGATGTTTACCACCTACCAACTGAAGTCAATAGATGGTTTATTGAATTATTTTTAGGGTTTCAACGTTTCAACCATCCAACATTGGTGGTGCAGGATTTCGCAACCATCCACAGTATGGGGGAAAAACACATGAACATGAAAGGATCGCAACTGTGAATGGAGAAAATGAAAGTATCACTCTCTGAAAGGAAAGCAACTATGTGTTTTACCTCTGGATGGGGAAAAAGACACGTGCGAATTATGTGTGCCTGAGGAAAACCAGAAATAGCTAATAATGATAGTAATAATAAACATGTCATTTTGTTGAACATGAATTCCTATCTTGCAGGTGCCCCCTCCCCAAGTGATTGTTGGTTTACAATCCCCATAGAAGATTTGTCGAAAGGCTCTGAAGCGGCAATTTTAATGTGGAAAATCATGAACTGAGATCAGACTGAGATCTTGTGGATTGATAATGATTGAGTGCTCAATTACTGTATATTAGTCAGTAGTAGTCATCATTGATGTTTATCTTGTTTATCTATGTTGGGATAATCAGATGCATGGATAAGGAGTGTTATCCATTGATCAGATCATTGATGTTCTTCCATCATGATTTAGTGTTAAGAACAAGTCTGTCTGGGGGTAACCATCCCCAAGTTTCAAAGCTTGAAGTACCTTCCCTCAGGAGCATATCTCATATCTCCTATATTTTCTTATTTAAGGGTCATATTGTGGTGATTTCGAGACTATATTGATTTAGTATTAGCTTACTTATTTGAAATGCAGCTGGAATTCAAATTAACAATTTTTGGGTTATACAATAAGCATGAATAAATATTTGTCACACTCTGATGCCTTAAGATTTCCTAACATGGGGGATAAGTTTACAAAACCTGATTTTTCTCGAGTAAAACCATGTAAAACCAACTTATCCCAGAGTTATCCTTAACTGACTCTACCTACAACATCCTACAACTGTGAATAAACCAATCCCAGTCCCATCCAAATCTTGCCATTCGACCATCAGCACCGACCAAAAATAGAACTATATTGGAGACATTTCCTTTGAAAGTTCGTTTGCTTATAATATATATTATTTGATTGGTAGTTTCAAACATTTTTTATTTTCCATAATATATGGGATAATCCTTCCCAATTGACTAATATTCTTCAGAGGGGTTGAAACCACCAACCATATATATATATATATATACACATGTACATATATATATATATTTACATGTATATATATATATATATCATACGTCATATATATTCCATGAATGTCCATAACATCAAAATGAACAAATCCCGGCACCATCCTCATATCATCCGTAAAAAACGACCGTGGCTTTCCCCCCCATCCTGCCGCCGCTAGAGAGGTGACATTGTCCGAGATCGAACGCTTCCAGAAGTTAGCCGTGGATCGAGAAAGTCGAGTGAAGGTCCGCGAGAAAGCGACGTCGGGACGTGACGCGACGTTTTTCGACGTGAACTTATCATCCATGGACACCAGGGGAAACCGTGGGAATGGCCTGAAAAAGGCCGAAGGAACTTAAGATTTCAGCCACAAGAGAATGGTGCTATGAATGGGAATATTCTTGGATGGATTTTAATGTGACTGGATTGATTTTGTTGGGAAAATCTACAGGAAACATCAAATTTGATGGGGCTTCTGTAAATTGTTGTCATCCAAGTCTGTGAAATCACATTTTGGGGCCAGTTTCAAAAACTGTTATAGTTATCATTATTGGTATACCACTTAACCACTTCATCAGTCGTTTTTTGGTTGTCGAATCCGGGGGCTCCACGATTTTTTATTGATGAAGCCACTGAACTTGGATCCCAACATGGCAATTTGTTCACTGTGCCACTGCGCTCGCCAGAACGGCTGTGGTTCCATGTTAGAAGGGAATTGTGTTGGTGACAAGTTGTCATGAGCAGCTCCAACTAGCTGGGAATGAATCAGAGATTGTGGGATTTGCTACGCGATTTGTGTTGAGGTGCACAAGTTCACTATCTTTATGTGTCTATTTCTGACATGCCAACCATTCAAACCTTTCCCAGCTGAAAATAAATCCCAAGTTCTAAGCCTCAAGAAGCCTTGATGTCATGGCTATTGGCTGGATCATCAATATCGAACACCCATTTGCGGATCATTTTTCCTGTGGCTTTCCGGTGCTTTGTCGATAAAACAACATGCCAGTTCACTGGAGGGTCAGCCAACATGTTCACAGAAACTGAAGGACTGGGTGGTTACAAAAATCTTCAATGTCTTAAACCTGCGTAACCCAAATCGTCAGTTTCACTAGAGGCTATCCCAGATGCCTGTGTTTTTTTGCTCGGCAGGAACTGCAACTTCGTTTGGTGAAGCGAAAAGAGCAACGAATTACCAAGGTGCCAGGGAGTACAGCTGATCATGGGGATCTTATCAGCATTGGGAGTCATAATCAATGATGATAGCTGAGTTGGTTTAGTTCACTAGATGAACATAGTTGAACTCAGATATATATATATAATTATATATATATTATATTATATAAACATATACAAACTATAATTCTGAACATATAATGTTCATGATGATAGTTCAGAACTATATAGGATTTTTGGCAGATATCATGGTCATCAATGAATGTGTTCCATGTAATCTGATCCCGTCCCCTAGATCTTAAATACACACTGTATACGGGACCCCAAAATGAAGAGATCCAGGCTAAACCAGGGTTTCGATTCGGGGGGTACTTATATAATATGATCGGGTGAAGGGATTCTCCATCCCCAATCACCATAACTATCCCAATTATGATCGCAAGAATCATCCCCATCATTTGTTGGATATTAGTCTTAATCAGTCATAGTCATCCTCCAATCATCCTATATTATCCTATGTTATTATCCTAATACTAATCCCAAGTATGTTTATTCATCCTCCAAGAATCATCATACTAATCTCAATTACATCGTGATACTAATCCCAATGTTTCGATTTAGGTGGTACTTAGGTTGAAGGGACATCCCCAATTGCCACAACCATCCCAATTATGGTCCCAGTAATCATCCTTAATCATTGCGGGGTATTAGTCCTAATATGTCCTAATAATTCATAATCATCCTCCAATCATCCAAAAAATCTATGTATTCCTATGTTATTATCCTATATATGATCCTCCAATTCATCATCATCCTCCAACATTAAGGTAGCTATTGAACATGGCCCATTTATAGTTGATTTACCTATGAAGGATGGTGATTTTCCATAGTTATGTTAGTTTACCAGAGGGTATCCGTAACATTAGAGGATTGGGATTGCCCTGGCCCAGCCGTGCCCTGATAAAAGGCCGGTGTCCCTCGACCCGTGGGCGAGCGAGCCGACGTGGTCAGCGAGGGGGGCTTCTCCAAGTGGGGCGCCGCAGGGGCATTTTGAGCTGCTGTGTGCAGCCATAGAGGGGTGAGGATATGGGGCAAACATAAATGGCTACAATATGCTACAATACTACAGTATAATGGATACTTATACTATACTTATGGGATCTTATGGGTTATGTGCTAAAATAATAAAGTTAAGTAATTGATAATAATTGATACAACTTATGGGCTACACTAGACATTCAACACTTTCCAGCATGGTTTTACGAAATTTTGGATCTATTTGGATCAATCATTCGTTGAGTCTTGTGAAGTTGAAAGCATCATGTTACCAAGATGTCCCGGTGAAGCATCGGCAATATGTTGCCACAACACAATGTAATGTCCATTCAGTTCTTGCAATGTGGTACAGGATGGTACAGGCAGGTTGAAGGATATTTCCAAACATATCCATGCCACAAATATGTTTATTGTTTAGGGAGCCCCTTAGATTCTGCTTCATTTTGACCTAACAAACTGGTGTGTCTACTGTCTACTGAACCGAATGCCCTGCAGAACTGTGGACATGGAAATTGAAGATGTCATGAGGTCAGAATTTCCCCTTCCACAGCCAGTCCCCATGTCAGGCATTGGGGTGATTTTTGTTTTAATGAGCAGTGTTCAAAACCCTTGTTGGTTGATTACTATCTGGGGTTGGTGATACTATCTATAGTATAACCATGTATAGCCATGTATAGCCATGTATAACCATGTATAACCATGTATAACCATGTATAACCATGTATAACTTAGGGATTATCACCATCCATGAAATGGCAAATCCATGGAACTCCATTCTTAACCAGCCAATATCTTTAAAGGGACGCGACGACATTTTTCGAGTTTTGAACACCACTCTGTGCTTTAAACCACCGCACTTGGCAGCAGTTTGTCGCTCAGTTTGTCCGACATTCTGGACGTCAAGAACGCCTTGGACTTGTATGTCACCACTGGGCATATCGAGGACGCTGATGGATCAGCAGTGCCCAAGATCCTTGGTTTATCCCATGGTTGATACAGCTTCGAATCTGGGTATTTTGAAACATACCAACATATGTAATTAACACACCCAGTTCCTTGTACTATTTTTCTCCATTATGTTTTGTATGTTTTGATATGTTTTGTGATTTCCCCATTATGGTACCATCTGGATTTGTGATATGTACCCTCTGGATATTTAACATAGCCATGGAATCTCACCATTTTTAATAGGTAAACCATCTATAAATGGGCCATTTTCCATGGCTATGTTAAATAACCAGAGGGTAATTGTCCTAGGTCCTAGTCCATTAGTTAGTCACCATAGAACTTCCCAAACTCCGCAGGAGCGAGCTTTGCTGGAGTTGCCCCGACAAGGTGGGAATGAACATGAGGGTGAAATCACCCCAAATTCAATGGCTATTGTCATAAGGAAAACCCATGGATTATATAATGCAGTCTGTTTCTGGTACCCTGTTTTCAGACAAACCCTTGTTCAAGTAGAGTAACTTTTTTGTGAAGCATCAGTGAACTGTCCATTTTTTGGGCTATGACGGGTACGAATCTTTTTCATGGATCCATTATCTTGCATTGAAGCGTGTGTTGCTGGCAACCAAAAGTCACCACCATCTCTGGAGCGCTGCGAGCTGCGCCACCCTCGTGGCGGTTTCCCGACAACCAGATTTCACCCAACATCATTCCGAAGCGTGTCAACGTTGGAGCCAATCTTGTCGGAGCAAACATCCGGTCTCAACTGCAGGGCGGTGCCCCCCAGGATATAACACAAGTCATGATTAGTTTAACGCAAGTTCTAAACCTATGAATGAGTCAATTCAGAACCTTTGTAATAAATATAATAATAGTTCTTACATCGTCTTACAGGAGTTATAACTCAATTTAAACGTGTTTAAGAGAAACATGTCTAAACACACACAACTAGTTTTAAGACATTGGAAAATATTAGCGAAACTAACTTTTTTTTTTCCACTGGTTTTTGTTTGTTGTAAAGAAATGTTCTTCTGCGTTTTGCAGTTTTGGTTCAAGCTAGTTTTTTTTAAAAGTCTGCACACTTCAGAGTTCAGGAAATGGACCTCAACGAAAACAAACATGTGATATGCTCCAAAATAGGGAAGAGTAGTGTGTGTTAGGAATGTGCTAGGAATTTGTGTCTGCAGGTGCGAGGGTGTTGGATCTGGGAACCAAAACGCGTATGTGTTTTTTTAGTTTAGACATAGAAACAATATGAAACAATCTGGGTAAATTATAACGACCTCACTACGACCTCACAGGAAACATGGTTAGTAAGGGAAATCATCCCAAAATGGCCTTAATTCAGGTTAGTGAAATATTAAAATTTACCCAGAACAATGAAGAAAGAAAGCAGGGTGCCTATAGAGGAAAGTCTCCATGCAGTGCCATCCTCTCATGTTTTTTCAGGTGCCATCCTCTCCCAAGTCCCACCGGCTACGAGCCTGGTCACCTTGGTTCGGGCCGCCCAACAGATGACGGGTAGGATGGATATGAGAAGCACCCGGGTGTTGAAAATCCCACGTTTCTTGGCAATTTTAACCATAAAACTGGCGAAAAAAATGCTGGTTCAAACGTAGAACCTAATAACATCTAATAACAACGTATTTATATTTGCATAATTTTAGTAGGAAAAATGGTGATTTCTGTCAAATTTGGGGTACCGGGTACTTTGAGACAAACCAGCTTTTGCTTGCCACTGTACATTTTTTTCCTGTCCAGGTTCAGAGGCTTTGAGTGGATGAATGAGCTGGAAATCAAAGTGAAAACCAACGATTGTGACACCTACCCTGAGGATCCTGAGGATCCTATCTACTTATCCTACTGATTTTTGATTGTATAAGTAGATATAAGTAGATCATAAGTAGCATCAGTCAAGATGAGTAGGATCAGTAGATAGGATCCTGAAGGTAGACCTAAATGTTGTAAGGAATTCGAACTTATTACTATTACCCTCTGGTTATTTAACATAGCCATGGAAAATCCCTTATAAATGGAGGTTTTAATGGGACAATCATCCATTTCTCTGGGCCATTGTCCATGGCTATGTTAAATAACCAGAGGGTATATAGTCAACTAAAGTATAAAAGTTAGTAGCACATATTATAATTATCTAGCAACATTTTCTGGCATGTTCTAACAGTATTATCAACTACCCTCCAGCAAATTAGCATAGACCTTGAACATAGCATATGTTTTTTTCTGTAAAAACTAAGCTTCCTATCTCCAATTTGGAAGGGCCTATGTTAATTGGGGATGCTCATTATCAACTATAATGGTTAACAAAAAAGTTCAAGACTATAATTGACTATAATCAATCAACTATATATCAACATCATCATTATAAAACTATGATTTACCAATTTAACATATATTTTCCATATAGATTACATTAGATTACTATATTAATAAACGAACACTTCACATACCCATAGTCATTTAGAACTATTGAGCATCACCACCAATCGACCCTGGCGTCCTTGTTTTTTTTTTCCCAGGTCCTGGCAGAGTTCATGCACTGCGACGTGGGAAGCTCCGAAACCGCGGTGTCCTGGTTGCATGGGAGGGTGAAACTTGGTGAAACTGATTGAAGGTGAAGCGAAATTCATCATTTTAATAGTAATTCCCTGCAGATATGTTGAAAAGTGATTTTTATCATTATTTTTCTGATTTGGAGTGGACGTTTCCATCCTTTTTGACTCATTTTGGAGATTGCTATAATGGGCAATAGAGTTGAAGATGTTTCGTTTCTGCAACCTTTTCACTTTCTCGTTATTCGTTATTCTGAAGGCTGGTGGAGGATGGGTTGGTTTGGTTGGATCTTGTGAATGGTACCTGTAAGGTGGTTCAAACCTCACACATCCTGATATAATTACAGCCGATAAAATCACCATCATCATCATCATCATCATCGTCATCATCATCCTCAACAACAACAACAACTTTGGGAGACAACTGACGTCACCGAACGATCCTCCTCGCCGTGGCGCATCCGTGGCGCCAAGGGCGGCCTCCGACCACGCTACGATTCCCTGCTGTCCTTTGGACCCTTCGAGGCCAGCATCATGCACCGAGATCACCGAGCAAATCATGGTGAAAATATGGGGGAAATACCTGAAAATATGGGTAAATGAACACTAGTCATGGTGAACATATGGTGAAAATATGGGGAAATACCTGAAAATATGTGTGGAGAATGATTTCTTGAATAGCGATGTTCCAACACTAATCATGAGTGGAAACTCCAATCTTTCAAGCCCTATTTAAGGGTCTATGTCAACTTTACTGATTTTACTCCAGGGTACATCATTCTTCGGACATGTTTTTTCTGCTTTGATATTTGATATCCATTGGTCCATTGAATTGATATCCCCCCAAAAAGTATATTTTCATGTTAGACATACTTCTGTATGATATACCATGATATACTATGATGTACTAATATTTCAAATCCCAAAATCAATCTTTAAGATTGCAATTTGATCCTAGCTACTCGTGTGTCCTCGTCGATGGCAGGGCTTCGTACAAAAATGGTAAACCGAGACATGGGTGGTTTACCATGGGAATTCGGGATGGTGTGGAAGTTTCAATATGTTTCAATATTGAAGACAAACATCAGTTGCATGTACATAATTTTCGCATTGTTTGAGCCCATCGTCTCCTTTAATCAGACATGGCAACGGGAGGATTCTCCATTCATAGGGGATTTCTAGCCACGTTTGATTATCGAAGGGTTGGCCACGTAAATCAACAGTGACCTCACGGGCATTCGTGACCAAGACATTGCTCAGTGGCATTTGATCGGCCGGAAAAACGGCCAGGTCTATTTTGCTTTGGAGCTACTGTCAACCTTTTTTGGAGAGGGAAATGCCTCTCAATTTCGCAATGTTCACATATTTTCACTGTGTATTTGCAGAGTGTTGGGGTTGAACCCTGTGGTTTGGTGGTTCAACAACTGTTTTGGTTCCAAAGAAACACCACAATCCATTTATCTGGGTGGATCAAAGACCACGAATTAGTTGTTTGGTGGTTCAACTAGTTTTACTATTTGTCATGAGTGATTTTTTTGTTTCTAATACCATTAACATAAGGCTTTATTGGTTGAATCGCCCATTTTTAGTGGGGGCTCCATGAAAATCTCCCCCAATTTTATCCGATTTTTTATCCTCCAATACACTATAACATTATATATTACCATCTGGTTATGACTAACAGTTCGCCATGGAAAGATCCACCATGTTTAAGAACGGTAAACCATCTATTTCGATTAGGGCCATCTATACCATCGCTATGTTAGTCATAACCAGAGGGTAAAATTATATATAGTGGTTAAATATAATTATTATCCAACCATTATTTATTGTTATATATTATTACCCAACCAGAGGGTTAATTATATTCTTACAACTATAACATTAAAATGGTTGGATAGTTCAAGTTCTATGATAGGTTCATCAATCCCATCCCCTTAACGAAAATATGAAAAACAAGCCCCCCGTTATAACGAAACCATGGTAAAAAGTAGGGAAATTCCACATCAGCACGGGATGATTTATTGAGTGTTTATATATTAGGGTGATGGGATTAATTTGTTGTTTATTACTATTTTTATACATATCCCTTTTCATGTTCTTTTCATTTCCTTCAATTTCGTTTCATTTCCTGCATGTTCCTTCTCTTGAAAAAAAACATTACCAATCCAGACCACTTGCATGTCGACCCACTACTTAGTTGCCAGGTGGGCGACGCAGAGGTGGAGCACTTCGCCAAAGGTTCACTGCGCCTGGAATTGCAGGCGCCTGGGACGAAGCCATGGGGAATACTATGGGATATGATGGGATATGATGGGATATACTTATTTTTTGGAGGTTTGATAACTTTTATGATGGTGCCCCCCAGTGATGGAACGTTGGTTTAGTTTTCACCCCATGAATTCTATAGTTATATCTACCATAAACATCCATAAACCATAGTAGCAAGTCACTTATTTCAGGCAACTGAACGCGAGATCGAACGGGGGCGCCATCCTGTAGGGATAAGTATGCACAAGTATCGGGACGTAATCAATAAAGCCTGGAAGTTTTAGATAGTTTATGTTGAGTTTCTAGACTCGGCTGGGCACGATTTGCCATAAAATTGTAGAACATAGTCCAAAATGGTAGTTTACCTAGCCAATCATGGAGATTTCCCCCTTTTTTTTGAGGTGTTTCAATTTAGGGTTTACCCTGCCATGGTGAATCATGGCAGTACATCATCATCAAATGTAGCAGTGTCGCAAATGAAATTGGGAATGAATGAGAACATATGGAAAGCATCATCTATACTGGTTGGTGGTTTGGAACATGGCTTTTATTTTCCATTTCATATATGGGATGTCATCCTTCCCATTGACGAACTCATATTTTTCAGAGGGGTTGAAACCACCAACCAGTATAAATTAAGCTATGATGGGGATATCATTGGGATATGATGAGATAATTATATGACCACAGATTAGATGTATACTGTGTATATATATATAATTAATCAATATCGGATATGATCGGATATAGACAACCGACAAATGTGAATTATGTGAGTGTGTCTGAAAATGACATGGCCCTTTTAATGGGGACACATGATCATTTCCCATGGGATTTGGTGGGTTTCCCTAATAGTTTTCGTGGGAACAGCTAGGTGAAGGGTAGTTTGATCCTTGACATGGTTGACATAAAAAGATATTGCTTGCAGTGTATCTAAGATTGGCTATGTTTAAGCCAATGGAAGATATGTGAAGCAGTTCGTTGTGTATTCACTGTTTTTGTTGCCTTAACTAGAAATTGTGGATTTTTTCGCAAGCAAATTTTAGGGTGATTTCAGAAACCAAGACCAAAGGTAGGGGTTTTAGACAGTCGCAAGACATGTGGATTTTTCAGTTTTGCCAACCAAACGTAGTGAGTGATGAGTTTAGAAATCGAAACAACGCTGTGAACTTCAAGCAACCCTTCCGGTGGCTTTACTAGATGAGAACAGGGTCTATGTAGCATGGTTCAGCAATATTTCACCATCAACAACCCACCATGTAATACCTATACTGGTTGGTGGTTTGGAACATGGCTTTTATTTTTCCATATATTGGGAATAATCATCCCAACTGACTAATATCATCCTATATCAACACCGGGGAAAGAGAAACTGAAACCTGTCTAATTGGCCGCAAGCTTGGCGAGGCGTTTTCCTCTGGCGGGTCGGCTGCCTACGTGTGGAGCCCCAGGCATTGTTGGATGGCTTAGATGATGGAAAACCCTCTGGGAAACATACAAAAAACGATGGAAAATCACCATTTTGAATGGGTATATCAACTATTTCTATGACCATTTTCAATAGCTATGTTTGTTTGCCAGAGGGTAAATCACAGAACAGGACAGGTGCATTGGTTACCCCGAAAAAGGACCTGTCGTCACCACGGCCATGGGTGCTGCATCGGGATGCCGATCCTGTCGAGTTGGGAAATGTTGCAGGAAGATGTTTCTTTAAATTTTCAAGAAAAATTCAGAGGTAACAAACATGATAGTTTTATTGGGATATATTTATATATAGTTGATTAATCTGGAATCATGGATAGAATACCAACTTTGGATCTCTTTTTGGGATTCTAAACAACTTCTGGTTGAAGCCAAATTTTTGAAAAACAGCAACGCAGCCCACGAAGAAATTTAACACTGGTTGGTGGTTTGGAACATGGCTGGATTATGACTTTCCATATATTGGGAATGGAATGTCATCATCCCAACTGACGAAATCCATCATTTTTCAGAGGGGTAGGTATACCAACCAGATTATGATTTCATTGGTTGGATTGTTGGTGAATATCATTGAATATCGCATCTTTGATGGCGACATCCAAAGATTCCCTCTTGATTTGAAGATTTTGAAGGTGAACACATGTGAAAACCATGGTATCAATGGGAATTCCAGGATCCTAAAATGGAGGTACTGTACCATATAGGCCAATATAGGCCTTATATATGGTAGGTACCTCCAATTTAGCCCTATAGGTTCCTGAAATGACCATTGATGGTATTCTTGTAGAATTTCCCTTCTCGAATGCATCACTTTTCTAAGCCCTTCCCCTTCTCAGGTTCTTGGTCGAGCCTCGCTGCCGCTGGCGGCCTTGTTGGACTGCACCCCGCAGGTGCGTCACGGAGATCTCCAGAAATTCCATGTAGCCGGAGAAATCAGAGGTACCCTCTGGTAAACGTTTACATAACTATGGAAAATCACCATTTTTCATGGGAAAATCCACTATTTCTATGGCGATTTTCAATAGCTATGTTAAATTACCAGAGGGTAACAAACATGATGGTTTTATTGGGATATATGGGATAATCCTTCCCATTGACTTTCATATTTTTCAAGATGGTTAAAACCACCAGCCAGTTATTTTTTGGAGGTGTGATAACTTTGGATCTCTTTTTGGGATTCTAAACAACATCTGGTTGGTGGTTTGGAACATGGCTTTTCTTTTTCCATATATTGGGAATTTCATAATCCCAACTGACTAATATTTTTCAGAGGGGTTGAAACCACCAACCAGTTATATAATTAATGGATAGAATAATCTGAGATATTGGTCAATACAATCCGCTGTTCTTAAACTTGGCAGTTGAACATACTTCAATGAATAAATGGAGTTTTATAGCTGGAATATGGTCCACCAGAAGTATGCAACATCAATCTATATAACTTCTTTACCCCAATTCCCCATTGAAAAGTTGGTTTGGAACCTCACTTCTCCAGTTCAAAGCCCCAATTTTAGGACTTTAAATACCAACTTTGGATCTCTTTTTGGGAGTCTAAACAACATGTTCTGGTTAACCCCCTAGCAACATCAATTGAACATCAAATCCTTCCCGTTCTTTGACGTCGTACAGCACTGATTGGTATTTACGCTGTTCTGGGCTTCACCAAACCTCGGGGTCTGTGTGTAATATTAGATATCTAATCATAGATATGTGTATACAGAGTATACACATAATAATCATAATAACAGTAGATATCACATTGGATATATAATCATATTGGATAATATACACATATATAATCATAATATATAATATTAGACTCCAGTCGAGGCTTCAAAGATCGGCTTCTTCAATCGCAGGATCCCAATCCGGTGGTCACTGGCACCTTGTACTTCGGCTCAGAGGCTCCACGGGGGGCGCTTCGGAGTGGTTGGAGATCGATCTTGCCATGCGAAATTACCATCCAAAATGAGGATTTAACCATCACACATGGTGGCATAATATGGGGATATATGATGATATATGGGTTTAATATCTCTGAGATAGTGATATTTGGGGATATATGGGTATAGCATATCTCAGATAGCCTCTGGTAAACTAACATAACTATGAACAATCACCATTTTCAATGGGTAGATCCACTATTTCTATGGCCATTTTCAATAGCTATGTCTGACATAACCAGAGGGTAGTCGTTTTTGGGGATGAGTCAAGTTACCTATGAAATTACCAAACTGGGGCAAGACCTCCAGCTAGCGGGCAGACTGACTGGGTATCCGGGCACCAGGCTTTTGACCCATAATAAAAATGGGGAGTCAAGAAACTACTAGGGGTTTCTCAACCATATGATAGTTGGATATAGTTGGTAGATTGTGATTCAGTGATGTTGTCATCTAGGTTGGTATACCCTGCAGTAAGCTAACATAGCCGTGTTCTTTTTTAAAACGGTCATGTTTTTGAGGTAAATCATCGGCTTTCATGGGCCATGTTCCATCGCTAGGTCAAAATTACTAATTAGAGAGCAGTTAATTGAGCTGCTGTTTCTGGTGATCTTTGCCATACTTCGATGACGTTATATTTCAACAAAAATACCTATTTGGACAACTTGTAGATGGAAGCTGCTTGAGGCACCTTCGGATGAAAGCAGACTCCGTTCATGCATGTTTATACCCCATATGAAGGTTACCAATTGATCCATATCACCTATTCTTTCGCGAACATTGGCCCTCCAAATTAGCGGGATATGGATAGTTGCACATGCGTGCAGCATGTAGGTTGTATATATACACATATATACACAGTTTTATGTAATATACCATCATGAATGTATATAGACACTAGACCATCATCCACTCTCAGCTATATTTCAGATGATTTTCCCACCATGCCACGCAAGTTGGTGATCCCCGGTGAAAATTGTGTTTGTTGGTTTATAAACCCCATTAAGTAATATCCACGATGAATCAATGTATCTACCATAATTGACTATGTTAACATATCTATCATTTGTAATTTTATAGCGGTTCTAGCCCAACAAGATAGAAGAGTACTTTATCACTCTATCTTTGTGGGATTTTATGCTTTTCCATCTTTGTTTGGGATTGCTATATTGTCAGCGTTCAAGAGCTGGTCATAGCACTGTTCACCTGCGAGGAGGATTCACGCGTGCAGATTGCAGCTGTCCGTTACAAGGCCGGAACGGGCGGCGTTCTGAATAGAGGACTGCTGGGTGACAGTATGATCTTGTGTAATGGAGCATAATGGTGCAGAAATACATAGACTTGAATGACACATGTATATATATATATATACAGATCATGAATGTGTGTATCATGCCTTGCTGCTGATTTCCAATATGTGTTTCCTGGCGGTTTCTAACATGTGTTTCCTGTTCAGACATTGGGGACACCCAAAAACTGGAACCTACTCCTAAAGGCGATCAACCATCTTACTTGTCGAGACCGAGATGATGGCCTTTAGTGTTGAATGAACACAGCTCAGATACAAGATTTTGAACAAGGCTATCTGAATATCTACATATATGATGAATATCTAGAATTCACCATGAAAAGGGAAAAACATTGACCATCATGAACTAGACTGTTATCCCCTTTAAGGCTATCTCAAGGATCAACCCTTCCCGACATTTCCCGACAACCGCTTTTCGTAGTTCCATCGCTCTGACATCGACTTGGGAACTTGGCAATTGAAAGATCTTGGGGATGTGATCCCCAATTACTTTCATATTGTCATATATATATAATATATATATGTGTAGACACATATATACAGTAACCCCAAACAAAAGTTTGGAAACCTGTACTTTATCGTTTTTTTTGGATTCGGGTTTCCCTTTCCTGTCCTAAAAATTGGGATTGTTGGTGGTGGTTTCATCTTTTTGGGATGGTGGGGTGCGAAAGTGTATCCAAAATCAGGCCCGATGGCGCAGAAGTATCATCCAAGAGCTGGAAACGTATACCCTCCGCCGTGGAGTGTTCGGGCAGCCCAGCTCCGGCGGCTCCCGGGGGCTCCGGGGTGGGGCGGTTGGAACATCCCTTGATGGTCTACGTGGATGATTTGGTGGTACCCCCGGTACCTCCATTGTTTCGGAACCCATTTGTGGAAGTGTTCATCTGATATTCCATTCATATGCCATTAATATATTAATATCCCACTATCATCATTGATATTGATGGCATATGAATGGAAATCGAACTCAATGGTGGGGTTTCAAGGGCTGAGGCTTTTTCACCACTCCTCGGTTGCAGAGATATCCTTTTCCCACTGGTGAGTTGATAACATAAGCAAACTCCATTGAAGCAACAAACGGAGAAGATCGGAGAAGTACCTGATGATGATGATGATGATGGTTGTTTTTCAATGTTTTATTATTATTATTATTGTTATTATCATTATTATTAGTAGTATTATTATTATTGCTATTGATTGATACCTGGTGGCGGCCTTTCCCAGTCTTTCCCAATAGGACATGATTGATTGGTCCAAAATAAATCGTTGCCCTGTTTGATCACGATGGAACCATCCTATTGTTTGGGCACCTATAGTGACTCGATCTATTTTTCTGGAAAGCCTTTAGTGCCTTCGGAGAGAGGGAATCATTCATAGCCACCTCAGAGTCGGCCATCCTCATAAGAGCACATTGGGGGATCATGAAAACCAGAGATGTGTTTCTGGTGTTTCTGGTCCGTGAAATTTTCCCAGATTGGGAAAGCCCTGGTTTACCCAAGAGTTTATTTTTTTGCATTTGTGTTTGCAACCAGAAAAAATCACCCTCTGGTAGTCAAACGTGGCAATCGAAAATCCTCTATCAATGGAGATTTATAGCTAGGAAAATCATCTATGGATGGGCAATTACCAGCCGCGTTTGATTACCCGAGGGTGCAGACAATTTCCAATATTCCATCATATTCCTTCTGATATTCCATTCATATGCCATTAATTAATATCCTATATCCATCTATATCCCACTATCATCAATTAACATTCCATTTTTCTTGTTTCCACCAACCAACACAGGACCCCCCTGGCTGTGGCAGAAGCACAAGCTCCAGGTGCGAAGACGACCAAGCATTTTATCGTGATTAAATGGTGTTAATATTATATAATCAACAATATTTTTCGGGATATATTTGTGGGATAATATGTATATATATATATATACATGTACATATATAATTAATATGTGTATATATATATATGTAATTAAATATAACATATTATTATTTATACAGTAGCTTTCTCTAGGCAGATGATTTGCCTATGAACATTGTGTTTTCTTCCATTGCCCAATTAGATTGCATTTGATTAGCAGAGAGTATCAAATGGGTTCTCAGAGAATATTGAGATGGACATAGAGTCTCTCTCATGTACATATATAATGTATACACAATTATACACATATTATTCATTATTCCTATATATATATATATATCTACATATATATATATATATAATATACATTACAAACGCTATAAAGATATCATCTAGCTGTTCCTGGCCTAGGATCATGAAACAGGTCTGATCAAAGCTGAAGGAACCGTGACGAGATATCTATGAATATATGTATATTATACATGAATACATACACGTCCTTATATATACATATATGTACATATATGTACATAGACAGTGTACAGAATACACAGTATGTAAAGTATATACACAGTATATCATATATACAGTAAATATGCAGTCTATATACAGTCTATTATACAGTCTATATACAGTATATATGCAGTACAATATATATATATATACACGGTATGTAGTATATACAGTATGTACAGTATATAAAGTATTTAAAGCACCAATGTATATATATGTATATATGCGTGCACGTACACATACTTATACATGATACACAATCAGTTAGCATATCAGACGCGTAGGTCTTGGGTGTGTGCCATGTATGTATGTTTATATGTATATATATATATAATATATATATACATAACATGTGTACAATACGTGTAGATACCCTACATTTAAAGTTTGTTTGGAACCTCCTGAAAAGGACTCCCAACCAAATCATCCTGACTTTTGGAGATTGGGGGCATGCTGTGCATGACAGCCATTTGTGCTCGATGGCGGACTTGCTAGATAGATGAGCTGGCAAAGTTGCTTCAAGCCAACAGGAGGACCATCAAGACAGAATGGAAGGCAACGCTTTCTCGAATATCTTTCCAAATCATTATTATGAAATGGCTCTGGCCGCCCAAACTATCCAACTCCACTCATCCGGGCACAAAAATCGGTTTCTGGACACCAGGTAGCACCGTTTCAAACTCTTTTTAGAATCTTGTCAACACAATTTCGCTACATCTTGAAGCTTGAAAAATTACCAAAGTTTTTGGTGATCAAATCACTCAGCAAAAAGATCACCCTGCGCCAACCATGGCAGCGTTTCGCTGCGCTGATAGCAGCCACTGCCGGCATCTTTCTAGCCACGCTGACGTGGTCCTTCACTGTGTCCTCCACTTGGTGTTTCGCGAATGCCCAAAGTATCAATGGACCCTTCATCAGACTTCGACATCTTCATGTTTTGGGCTTTGATCCTTGGTGCGAATAATTGCTCCAAACAAGGAAAGATGGTGGAAAAAACACATTTCAAGTGGTGGGTTGTTTCGGAGTTTTTGGTATTAATTATATCAGGGATCATTATCATTGAGATTTGGTTTGTGGGTAACTCAACCGCAATGATAATCTTGTTAATAGATCATTTAGAAACCATCCAACTTTGAACTTCATTAATTATTTTTATAATGATAACCTACGAGAGATAACTGTGGTTTGCGAAATATCCATCACTTGAACGCTTTGCTGATTTTACTTGTTTGAGATTGCAAACCCATTGATGAATGGCTGCGGAGCCAGGGCCTCAACTAGAGGAAATTCTTTGATGCACAGAGACCAGGTTCATTAACATCCACGAAGGTTTAAAGTTCACCTAAATGAATTTGCAAATTCAACCATCTCAATCTTGGGGCAAGGATGAGGATATGGTGTATGGTTCCAGATATTGCCAGATCAAGAAAAAGGGGTAGAACCTCATCTACATTGTCAAAATTGGAGATGGATGCGCAAAAATGTCGAACACTTATTTTTTTTCACGCACAACAACCAACTAAGCATCCATATACTTTTTACATTTCAATGATTCATAGCGTCGTCTTTTTAATGAACATTTTATCTCTATCTCAATGAATTTATTCACCATCTCTTTTCATGTGTTGGTAAACGTCTGGTTTTGGAGTTTTTGAACATCACTTGAACAAGTATCTGTTCGAGATGTTATCGCCACTACTTTGTCAGCTCATGTGAACAAATTAGGACATTTGGGAACCCCTTCTTAACGGGGTCTTAATTGCTTTAACCATCAAAAATTGGATAACTCCAAAAAGAAAACTTCGATTTTTCTCTGAACCCGAAAAAAGAACAGCAACTCAACAAAAAACACCACATGTTCACTCAACCGGGAAAAAAAAATCCTGAGGAATTGTACAGATTTACCTTAGCCCCTGGTTTTTTCCTCACCCCAAAACCCATCAGCCGAGGACTTGGCGAAGATCTCCTCGACGACCCTCCGGGAGCCGGGCTGGCAATGCAGCACCGTGGCCCTGGGGGAGCACGGGCAGCTCGTAGGGCCAGCGCTCTGTAGGTCCTTGCTGCCCATCACCAGATGCTGGGAAGTCTTTGGGGGGCGCTAATGTTGTCATATTTCCAGTCTATAGTATGTCTATAGTATACAATATATATGCATATTGTTATATAAATATATTATGGGAGTTACATGTATATTATATATTGTTTATGTTTATGAGATATATATATATATATACACGTTTGAATGGGTAGAATTATGTAACATGTAATGTAACATATATAACTTTGAAGGGTCGTTGTGTGACAATTTCACATTTTGTAGGTTTGGACGGCATGCAAGCTGGAAAATGGTGGAGTTTTTGCATGTCTTTTTAATTTTGTCCTCAAAAAGGATGGTCTTAGGTGGTCAGCTTGAAGCCCTAAAGTATCCTAGAGGACGGTGCCCAAGGGTTCGTTGGGCATCCCATTTTTCCCAGGTAGACCATGGCTAACCCTGTAATAAAACATAGCGGAAAATCGAGCAGTTCGATGATTATCCCAGCAAAGCTCCAAGGCTCCACGTTCAGGGAGTTCCCATCGGCCCGCCATGATCTTCTGCTGAGGACACTTCTACTGGAACAATATCACCATCGCTGGTGTAGCTGGGGCCGGCGCAGGTGCCAAGATGTGCCTACGAAGTGGAAGTTCGCTTCTGCCGTGAGTTTTCTCATGGGTTATTCAATGAACTATGGCATGAGAGATGTCGACTTTTGTTTGTGAAAGAAAATGGTACATATATTACGTATAATAGTTCAATATATTTATTATAAATTAAGATTGTTTAGATCTATTTGACTACAATACATTAAATACATCCTTGAGGGAGGCCAGCATCAAGGAGCAGAGCCAGGATAATTTGGGAGGGTAGCTGAACTATTTCGAGTTTTGAAGGAGCAGTTTCTGCGGGGGGCAAGGGAAGATGACACCAGTTGACAAATAGTTTCTGAGATGGCTCAACCACGGGCCATATTTTGTTGGTTAATGTCACATAGTGTTGGTTAAAGCAAGTATCCACATTTCCTGGTCAAAACATCTACTGATACCGTATCACTATACACTGTACTCCCACTCTGTAGGTGGCTCAGCCACCAGCCAAAAATTCAACATTGTCTGAATTAGAACCTTAAAGCCTTGAATGTTTTGGTTGGGTGCATCCCCCAATGTTTTTGACGTATCCCACTGTTCTCTCCGTAAATATTCTATGTTTCATCCCATGCGGTTGTTACCAAGGCTTCTGGCAGGATTCTGACTATTGAGATGGATTGGTTTAATGGAACACCTACAGGAAACGGATGTTTTTTGTCATTAAACCAATCCGCACCTACAGGAAATATGTGTTTAATTTTCAATGGATTTCAATGGATATGTCTGTGTTTCTCAATTGCAATCTTTAACAACAAGAAAAACTGGGATGAGCACATGAAATCCAGTGCTGCCGCAGGTGAAAACTGCACGTCTTGCAGTTACTTGGATCTTCCCATAGGAGGCCCTTGGCCTCGCATTTCCTGCGATGAGATAGGACCCTATGAGGGACCTTCCAGGCTGCACCTTGGCTGCGACATGGCTGCGACATGCGACGAACGTGACCCCCCTGGCTGGATCCACGTGGGATGATTTCAGGTGAAAAAACCACTTAAGTTGCCCAGATGATTTTGGTGGACTGGGACGACCGAAAAGTGGCCAAGCCGAATTTTGATGGCTTATTGACATGATTGCTCCAATCCATTGTACATAAATTATAGCCACCAGAGAGGGAAATATGTTATTTAACCACTTTATCAACCAAGTTTCCCCCCTTGTATTTGGGGTGTTGGAGCAACCTTGATTGATATATTGTAATTCTCCCAAACTGGCACAAACTGGCTTGGGACTCATGATTGCTGAATTTGGGGATGGGAACTCAAAGCCAGTTTGATAAGAGATTTCAAAAAGTTTGGACCATTACCAAACTCAGGATTTTTCCAGAACGTGGTGCTGGTAATGTTTGGTGCTGGAGTTTTTGTTGTTGGAACCCACAAACTTTTGACGGTACAACTCAAATGGTTTTCTGCAAAACTACCCATATAAAAGAGACGATTGTGACTAATTAGTGACTCGACTCTTTACCCGTCCAACACTTCATAAATGTAGAATCTAGTTATTTAACATAGCCATGGAAAAATCACCATTTTTAAGAACGGTAAACCATCTATTTCGATTAGGGCCATCGAAAAACCATGGCTATGCTAGTCATAACCAGAGGGTAATATGGTCAAAACCATGGCTTATCTTCTACCAATGGCACCGGTATGGCACCGGTATGGCACCGTTATGGCACCGGTATGGCATCCCCCAATAGGGATGAGTTTACCCATAGTTTACGATGACCAGTTGGCCCATGGGTTTCTCGATGGAACTTGACGATGGGGACTGTAGGTTTCACTTGAAGTTGCCGACATCGACTCGACTTATCTCTGGAAGTTCTGGAAGTGTAACTTGACCCAAAAAAAACAACACAGTGGGATTCTGCCATTTGATGATATAGGTATAATGGATGTATAATATGGTATAATGGTATAGTTATCCCCACAGCGGTTGTGTGAAGGTGTATATGACGTTTTTTCTGTGCCTTGGAGTTGTTTCTTCCGAGAACACAGTTGCTGTGAGTCGATCGGTTCACGACAAAGTTTTTGCAGGAACCCATGATGTTTACCCCTAAATACAACTGGTTGGTGGATTCAGATATGTCATCTCGATCCAAAACATCTGACATATTTGGGATGCGTTGAACTGCGAGTGCACTCACCCTAGCCACAACACTAGCAGGAAGCAACTAACACTAGCTGGTTGTTAGTTTGGAACATGTTTTATTTTCCATAATTAATATGAGATAATCCTTCCCAACTGCCTTTCATATTTTTCAGAGGGGTAGGCTCAACCACCAACCAGAGGAGTTTAGAAGCTACAGTCACTTCACGTGACAGAACCCATCGCCTCGCAGGATTCAAATCGTTTGAGACCGGGGATCCTGGAGCCGATCGCCAAAAAAATGTGCGACCGCAGCTGCCGCAGCTGATCGTCTTAAGGTAAACCTTGGCGAATTTCCAGTGAGTCGTGGGTGATTTTTCAGCCATTTTTTCAGTGAGGAATACAATTTTTCTACGAATTCAAGGACACATTGTGCGTATCCAAGGTTGGCCGATGTTAGCCATATATTCAGAACGAGAAGGATCGCGGAGATGGTGTGAAAAGCAGCTTCCACTGTTGCGCTAGTTGGTTCATGTTGGTTCGACGTGAGAGTAGCATCCACTAAGGGGGGCGTCGGCAGACTCCTGGTTGCACTGTATATTGATAGTATGTGACCATTTGTGGGATATCAAAATGTGTCATTAATGGTGACACTATATTATATCCACTGAAATAGTTTCAAACTTATGAATTTTTGATAAACTGTCATTTGACCCCGCGGAATTGGGAAGCCCATTCCCATGGTTCCATGGTAGAAGTCCCCGTTTGGGAAGTGCAGATGGGAGTCCTTCCCTTGGGTGCCAAACCACAATTGCATCGAATCCGACATCATCAACTAAGGATGGGGATATACTAACCAAGAAAGGGCCTTTTTTTTGGGGGATATAGTCAACGAATGTCAACGAACAGAGTTGATTTATCCACTGGCATTTTTGCGTTGTAGAACATTTACTTGGCAGATTCTTGGTACAAGTGTGATCCGTGGCACAACAATGTCACCTACCAAAGATCATCCATTCACTGACTCAGTTTCACCATCTATACTCTAGTTTCACCCAGTGGGGAATCCGCAATTTCAACTTGTAAATCATTTACCCTCTATGTAAACGTTTACACTTCGCGAACTGGAAAATCACCATTTTGAATATAGTCAATCAATGTCAATCAACTACAAATGTGGTTTTTCACCTAACATTTACAGTTTGCTCTAACTGGAAGATCTGTGGCATTTGTGTCATTTTCAATAGCTATTTTGACATCACCAGAGGCTATCATCCAGATGGTCCCCGAGTCGCAGGTGCGGGTCATCCTGCAGCGCCCGGGCTCATGGAGGCTGCAAAGGGGCTCATTGTTGGGGCTACTCAGAGGAGCGGTTGGGGTTCAACTGGTTCAACCAACCCAAAATTTGGGCTAGATAGGGCTATATTTTGTTCTGAAGCTTTCTTCGTTGGATTTCAGGCAACATCAAGATTTTGACCGAAAATCGGAGTTGAACATGGTTGATATGGTTGGGCTGGAAAAAAAACGTCAACAAACATGGGAGTTCGAGCAAAGAACAGGGTTTGACCAAGAATCCAAACTCTTTTGTTGAGCTTGGGCCGATTGATGCAGCAGTTGACATCAACCACAAGCTCATCACTTGGCTGCTGCATAGTATAGGGGTCTCTCTGCCACATAGAAAGAACAACATAATAGGCAGTTGTATAGGAAAAAAACGTGTGGGAGACGTTCCCATCATGCTAAGTTAAGGTAAGCATAATAGCATACCCACAACCTTAAATTCAGATTTGGGATTCATCATATAGGTAGATTGTGTGGATTGATTTATCCAGCAAATTTGCACTGTATATAGTATAGTTTCCGTATGTATGTGTAGTTAGAATGTATATATATATATATTATACACTTGTAGATATATATATATATACACATTACATACATATATACGAGATTACACGAGTATATATGATACATGTAGGATATACATATATGATATATGCGATTTTTAATATATATATATAATACAGATTATGTATAGGATATAGGATATAATAGGAGATAATAGGATATACTAGGATACAATAGGATACAATAGGATATAATTGGATATAATAGGATATATATATATGATATATGTGTATATACCATATATATATATATTGTATTTTTATATGATATATTTTTATTTATATACTGTACATACATAGAATCATTACAATCTGACTACATTAAATATACTTTCCGGATCTTGAGCGGATTTCCCGGTTGGCCATTGGCCCGGCTTAGGTCCAGATCTTCAATGCCACATGCTTGGCCTCAGACTCAGGGAGGGATCGCGAAGGGATCGGAAGGACTCAAGGTCTCTGGGTCACCCCAAGGCCCCAAGAAACTTGGCAGTTTGTGAGAAGGATAAACAGAGTTGGGGATAGGATATGCTCGATTCATCCCTATTCTGAAAGAGAAATCTTGAAATCCTATAGTCGTGTTGTTAAAACGATGATTTTGGCCGAAGTCACATGGAACTTGGATGATTGTTTCTAGTACAGTATACTGTCCTTGCAGACTCAACGGCTCTCCAAGTACTTAGCTGAGGACCGGACTAGGACATCGCTAGATGATGCTTAGGATGGAGGGGATCATCTCCAAATTTGTTGTGATTTTTACCCTCCGGTAAAGGGCGGCCCCCCCAGTTTTAAGTTGGTATAGGCCCCATGAACTATCATTGAGTATGTACCATTCAAAGTATTTTTCGTTAAATTTGTGAACAAAATCAACTTAGCGAATTTGATGTTACTACCATACTCATAAACCATCATGAAGGTTAGTTATACTAGTGAATTAATCCAACTTAGCTGAACTAGGGCCCCACCTTGTAAGGGGGGACGAAACTTGAGGTGCCATCGCAGCAGATTTCACCCGACACGCTGCAGCCCTATGCCAGCTACGAGGTGAAGATAAGGGAAAGGCTGCAGTTGAGGTTACAGATAGGTCAAATATAGGCCAAATATGTTTTTTACCATGGCGAAATATAAACCCTTGGGGAAAAAAACAACTATAACTATGGTTATTTAACATAGCCATGGAAAATGGCCCATAGAAATAGATGATTTTCCCATTAAAACCTCTATTTGTGAGGGATTTCCCATGGCGAACTGTTAGTCATAACCAGATGCTATAACTATGATACATTAAGAATAATGCTTACAATATACATTAAGAATAGGTAAACCATCTATAAATGGGCTATTTTCCATGGCTATGTTAGTCATAACCAGAGGGTAATGCATATATCCACGTTGCTTCACTGGAACTGCACTTTCAGTCCTCCCTGCGGGATGATCCCCAGTTTTTTTTCCGGTTTTTATCCATTGCTACCCAACCTGGTTATGTCAACAGTTAGCTATTGAAGTCATGGCCATAGAAATAGTGAGTTTTCCCATTAAACATGGGTGATTTTCCATAGTTTTTTGTATGTTTACCAGAGGGTAGTTGTTTGGGTGATGATTGGATTTCTGTGTTTTTTTTTTGTTTTCATCCCTCATAGCAATGCGGGTCTTACATTCTTACATCTTCCCGAAGTTCTTTTCTTGGGTCTCAGGCAGGTCTGCAGATTTCAGACGTTTGGAGCATAAACATATCCAATTGTCCGGTTTCAAATGATTTCCATAGAAATCATCCAAATCATGGGTTTTTGATGGGGGGAAATCTGGTTTTGAACCACTGTATTTTTTGGTACGCTACCTAGAGGCAAACCATATGGCAATGGATCTGTCCAACTGTGGTTTACCCCCAGATGGCAATGGTGGTAAAGTTCTGATACTTCATCGGAATTGGGGATTCCCTATTTTCAATTATTTTCATGACAAACTCATACAGGACTCATACAAAGTGCTCCCCCCAGTATTACTGTGAGTTGCCTTTTTTGCCATCTAGCTATAGATATGTAATGATATATCCATATATATATAATGATACATATAATGATATATATATATATATTATCATAATAGATCCTAGTTAGTGGAGTTATAACCAACTGACCGATCTTGGTGGCCCCAATTTGTATCTGGCCGCCAATCCCTAGAGCTGGTCTTTGCCACATCCTTTGGTTGATGGTCAAGGAGATCATGAACATATATATATATATATATATATGTATATATATATATGATTGTTAATCGTCAAACATCAGACTTTCATCACCAAAAAGATCAAACAGGCTTTATGGTAATTCTAATCAAAATTACGGGCGTTATGAACCAACAATGTTTTTTTTCAACCACACACAGTTTTTCTGGTCGCATTGGGGAACTGGTCACTTGGGGATGATGTCGACTCCACTGGTAGCATCCCTGACACATCGACAGGTGCTTGGACACAAGACCCACTTCACACAGACCGGCACTGGCGCGAACGTCTCGTTCGAGGTCGGCAGTTTTTGTGCTGATGGGCAGTTTTTGTGCACAGGCCGATAAAGGCCGGTTTTGTGCTGAGTGATGCTGAGTTTTGGCGGTTTCAATTTCTCCATAATTTTAGCAGTGACTCTCTGATAACTCACATAGCGATGGAAAATCACAATTTTTAGTAGGTAAATCAACTATAAACAATGGCCATTTTCAATAGCTATCTCAAATTACCCTCCTGCAAACTAACATAGATGTTGAAAACCCACCATTTGTATATCATTTTTCTAAGGAAACCCTTGGTTTTCCACATCATTTTTTTTCGTCTCCCCCAGGGTACTTCCTTCCAATGGATCATAGAGCAGTGTTCCAAACCCCTGTGGTTTGATGATCATAGGGGATTATACTAACCAATCAATATATATATATAATAATAATAATAATTGTATATATATACCCTCTGGTACTTTAATGTAGCTATAGACAATCACCATGCTATTAATAGGTAAACCATCTATAAATGGGCCATCTATACCATGGCTATGTTAATCACCAAAGGGTATATATAATAATTGTATGTATGTATATATATATATATATATGGGGATTATCATCATCCATTAGGGGAATTATTGCGAATAGAGTGTAGGCTACGGACCATTGTATATTATCACAATTAGACACTCTAGGATCCAGCACCAAAGGGGCACTTCAAACTGGCCTCTTTGGCTCAAGACCCACTGCAGTACTGGAGTAAAGAACAGCTATGCGGAAGCTGCTGCCCGCGTAACGTCATCACTGGAGCAATCACTTCAACACTAACTACCAGGACATAATCGGACAGGCAATCCCCGATTCGCAGGTTATCAGCCGTAGGACTCCTACGGAGCCTACGAGCGGGTAGCCGCGGGCCTTACAGATGACTGAACAGGATAGCAGCGATAATGCATTTTCTTTCTCTGGACATGCCGTTGCACCAGCTGCCGGCACGCAGTCAAATTCTTCACAGAGTATCGACACTGGTGGAAGCGATGCCTCAGAACTGAGAACGAGCCAACCCAGGCGACTCTGGTTGCTCCTAGAGGGAGACAAATTTCGACAATGCAAGCAATTGAAGATAGGGACAGCACACCTGGAAAGAGAAGATCATCTGCACGACAATTGTCGCCTCCGATGACTCCAAGGACTAAGGCAAAGACTACGTCGTCGAATCCGCCTTCACCGATTCAGGACGCTACTCCATCAGGGACAGGATCTTATCAGCAAGTGAACGCCCCGTCAAGTGGTAGCGACATCTTCACTGCCTATCAGAGTGAATTAGCTGAGTACAAAACATCACTGGAAAGGGCCACTGAAGAAGAATCCGTACTTCAGGCAAGATTGAGTGAGACGACAGCATATGCCTATCAACAATTTAATTTCCTGGAAAGCACCACTCATCAAGAGATGATGTCGATGACCGAACAACTCCAGATGCTGAACTTCGAGTTACAGGCTGCACAACAAGAAGATGAAGGTGCGACCTACAGGATCGAAGAGTTGGAAAGGTATCAGACTATGTCGAATGAAGCTGCATCTCATTTGGAATTCAAATATTCACGACTACGTTCGGAATTCGATGAACAAATGGGACAAGCGAGCGCAATCATGGTACATGTGGGCGCCGATGCGAATGCTCACATCAATCAACTCAGACTGGAACTGGAAAGCGCAGAGATGAATGCCAAGCAAGAAGCTCTAGCGGTCGGCTACGCTAATGACCAGACATGTGCTTTACAGATCGAGATGCTCGAGGTTGCCAATCAAAACCAGACAATGAAGCACACCATGGCCATGAACGTTAGACGACTGGAAACTGAGCTCGATGCTGCTGACATGAAGAGGGACGAGATCATGAAGGAGTTCCGTAGTAACACAAGATCTGAACATGACCGTTATGCAGAATGTGAACATCATTTAGCTTTGGAAGAGTCACAACTTCGATTGCAGATGATTCAAAATGAGAACCTACAATCTCGACTAGCAATTTCTGAGAACAAGGTTTCTGAAGAATCTCTAGCTGAATCAGGCGGCATGCGGGACATGAGGATAATGGGACTACGTTCTGAACTACACATGAAACAAAGTCTTTTAGATCGAATGCAACAACAACTGACTGAATCGAAGAATCAGTATCATGAACTTTCCTGTCAACAAGCCAGAAGATCTTCACCAAGCAGATCACCGCATGGAGGACCTCTATACGAGATGTATATGCAAGCCGTGCGAGAACGTGACAGTTTGAAGGAATCCAAGGCTGAAGTTGACAAGTTGTACTTGCAAAACAGAACTGAACTCATTGACACTGAGGACCTGCTCAAAGTCTTCCAGCGAAACTTTGATGAAACTGGTAAGAAATATCAAGATGCTCTGAACAAGATCGATCACATGAGCAACAATCCGAATGTGACGAGTAACTTGTTCGACAGTTTGCACAATGAAATCAATGACAGGGACACAGCTATTGCTCGCCTTCATACTGAACTTGAAGCCCAAAAGGATTCTCTTGAGCGTGCTCACAGGGATGCAGGTAAGTCCATCAAGATGCTGAACGACAGAAGACTCGTGATTAAAGGTGCGACTGACTATTCCATTCCTGAAAGCCACTTGACCGAGATGCATCAATTGGCCAATGAGCGTTTCGCTGAGGTAGAAGAGATGTCGAGCACCATTGCTGCCCTGAAGTTGGAAAACCAAGCTCATTCTTCTTCATCAATGAATAGACCGACTACATTACATGGGTACCCCAGTAATGCTATGCCTCGGAATGAATGTGAAGAGAAGTGTGCCAAACTGAAAGCAGAGTTGGACGAGATGAAGCAAGAGAAGAACAATGAAGTTCGAAATCTTCAAGATGAGTTGAAGAAGATGGAAGATCGGAAAGATTACTACAAGAACAATTTCTCTCAAGCTGAAGATCGTGCCAATGATGAAGAGCAGGAATACCGAGCAGAAGCTGAAGCCTTCGAAAAGCTCAGGAACGAGTACAACACCAATGTCAAGGAGTTGGAGAACCTTGAAAGGGATAGATCCAAGTCATCCGTATCTCTAAGAGAAGCCGAAAAGATCAGCCTCCAACCCTGGCCTAAGACCACTGAACTTTCATCCTGGAAGGGAAGTGTCGTTCATGAAGTTTGTGTTGCAAGTGGAGATCGAAACTATGAAGATTGGAAAGCATGGCTAGCTCCGTGTCTTGCAGATCAACCTGACTTGGAAACTCTGGCCAAAGCACCCGATGTAAGATTCCAATCCATTGATGCCAAGCTCTCCAATGCCTTGAGGAAAGTCATTGACAATGCTGGGGACAAGTCCATGCAAGTGAAGTATGACATGTCCATGAAGAACCAATTGTATGGGAGAAGTGGGGACTTCATCAAGGGACGAGAACTATTTGCAATGATACTGATTAGCTTCAAGTCACCTGACCACACTGAAGTTCTCTACAATGCCCATCATTTGTATATGTTCAACTACTATGGAGATGACCAACTTGAGGCCTTTTACAACAAGTGGCTTGACATCGTATACAATATGAAACATGATGATCTGCCTTCCAACAATTCCCTGCGTGACACATTGTTCCGGAAGATTGAACATTCAAAGCTTATGGCTTTTGATATCAACCGATACAAAACCTTTGATGAAGGGCATCCGGAAAAGACCTATGTTTACCTAACTGGTATGATCAAAGGATACATAGCAAGAGGAAAGCAAGAACGACTGTTGAAGGATAGAGAACGTGCAGTGAAACTGTCATTGTCCTCTACCAAGACGACACCTGCCCTGGAAGATGCTGACAAACCTGCTGCTCCCGTCAAGACCAAGAAGGAGAATGAAGCAGCTGCATCGTCTACAGGTGATCCTCCCAAACGGCCTAAGGCGAAAGCGAAGAGTGAAGCTGCATCAGTACTTCCAACACCTTCTCCGAAATCTCATGCCGACAAGAACAACAAGAAAGGCAAAGGTGGGAAGGGAAGATCATCTTCACCCGTTGACAAGAAGAAGATTTTCTGTAACTACTTCTTCAATAAAGGAGGATGCAACAAAGGTGACAAATGTCTCTACAGTCATTCTCAGAAGGTCTATGATGCCAAGATGAAAGGTAAGAAAGGCAGAAGCGGAAGTCGAGATTCATCAAGAGGGAAAGGTAGAGGAAGTTCATCTTCAGCTGGACCCAAGAAGAAGATATGTTGGAATTGGCAAAAGGGTACCTGCACGTTCGGAAGCAAATGTAAATTCCTGCATGCAGATCAATCGCCTTCAGCATCTTCAGAAAGAACCAGCAAGAAAACACCAAAGAAGAAAGCGACTCCCATTACCATTGATTCCTTCTTTGATAGCGACAATGAAGATTCTATGGATTATACCTCACCGAGGATAGCCAGCGCGAAGAAGTCTTCTGATGATCGCAGGATCTCATTTGATCTGGAACCTGAAGTGCACGAGATCGCCATTGAGGACTACCAGGAGGGACTACCCAAACGTATGTATCGTGACCCCAACAAGCAATATGTCTTCTGGAAAGTCGATGATTTGACTGACGATCAGTCCAAGTCCGACAACACCCTCGGTTCAGTCCGAGCAAGGGCCAAAGCTATCATCATGGACAGATGTGGACTCCATCGTTTTGTTGATGAAGTTAGAATCATTATTGGCCCCAAGTTCGACATGTTGATCAAGCTGGACAATGATCGTGATGACTTGACTTTTATCGAAGAGCTTGTTGAACACGAAGTTGGAAACTCCCTCATGAAGTCCAAGAACATAATGTGCATTTCACTACCAGTGCAAGCCAAAGATCGTAGATTCATCCTGGATTCTGGCAGCGGACACGATCTGATTTCTGCAAGGAAAGCCGAGAGGATGAACTTGAAGCAACGAACTTGTGATCCTATCATGTTCCACACAGCCAACGGTTCAACTGCTACTCAGACGGAAGCAGAGATTGACCTGGGAACCTTTGATGTGACCTCTCATGCCTACGTACTGGACGACACTCCGTCCGTGATGTCTCTTGGGAAACGATGCATGGA